TCGAACCCGCCACCTTAGGTGTATGTGGCTGGCGCCTTAGCCGGTTGAGCTATAGGCGCCGAGCCAGATTACAATCTTAAGACAACCTGAACCACAGGACCCAGGTGGGCCTGTGACCACAGGGTAAGAAATGTTTGTTGTTGTTTTTCCAGCCAGTAAGTGTTCATTTGAAAACTGTAGACTTACAGAACAGAAAACTTCTGTGTGAATCTGCCATAAGAGGTTGTAAAATATGGAAATTATCTTGCAAAAATATGGAAGAACCTAGACTTTATGCCAAACAAATAACATAGTTCACTTGGGTTAATAGATGCTTTCTAGAATATTTGCTTAATTTTGAAAAAAATCTCTATAATGACATATATATATTTTTTGAGACAGAGTTTTATTATGTCACCCTCGGTAGAGTGCTGTGACTTCACAGCTCACTGCAACCTCCAACTCTTGAGCTTAAGTGATTCTCTTGCCTCAGCCTCCCAAGTAGCTGGGACTACAGGCACCTGCCACAATGCCCAACTATTTTTGTTGAGGTTGTCATCATTGTTGTTTAGCTGGCCTGGGCTGGGTTTGAACCCACCAGTGTCAATGTATGTGGCTGGTGCCAATACCACTGTGCTATGGGTGCTAAGCCATATAATGACATATTTTATCTCTAATTCATTAATTTTAATCAAATCATGATCTTAAAAAAGTTTTCTGGAGTGCTGGCCAGCCACACTATTGTTTTAAGCTATTGTTTTGGAGCAATTTGTTGTCTAGGCATGGATGATAAAATAAGATGTATGTTATGAGGGCAGGTAAGTTCGCCCAAGAATTATTAGAATTTATATTACACCTGCCAAAGACATAGGACATTTTTAGAATTCTGGAATTCACAGAACTCCAGAACTGTCCAAAAAATTTCTGTATGAAATTCACGTCTATCTGCATGACATGAATATGGGTCTGTTTGGCTTCACCTGGCACTGAGAGTCCACTCTTTTTCATGAAACTGAGTCTGAGAGACATTACCAGCAATGTAAATCAAAATAAAACCACATTTGATTCCTGGCTGTTACTACTGTCAGCAATAAATGTGCTGTGAATGCACATATTCTCTGGAATAGTCAGTCTATTAAATAACAGTTTTCTCACTGATGTGTCAAAAATTCATTGATGACTAGTGTCAGACCTACACCTTCAAAGTTCATTAAACTGTTTTGGAGTATCTCTCTATCAGTAGGTTACACTTCACTATTGTTATCAATTTAAGAAACTATGCATGTTCCACATATATGGACTTCTGATTATGTAATGCATTTTTGAAAAATCTAGGCCAGCTATTTCTTCTTAATAATTAATTAATTAATACGTTCAGTCAAAGAACATTTATTTAGTGTCCTCCAGGCACTGGAGTTATGAAGAAGGCAAACTTCTAGATCTTAAAGTAAGCAAAGTTGTGATTATGTAATTAATGTCTGTAACAGTTAGCATACTGGTTTTTGTTATATTAAATTTATGGTAGTGTATAGTTCACATTCATTTTGGCACCATTTATATTTCAAAACATGAGTGTTTTCAGTATAACAGTGCCTACTTCATTGCACTTGAAGCGTTATTCTATTATGTCTCTGTCATTATGGGGTCTACAGTTGTTCCTCTGCTGTTACGAGGCAGGAATGCAACCTGCAATTGTAAACACTGTTCTGATGGAAAAATCTCACTTGGTTGAGGACGCACCATAGTGAAAGGAATGGCTGCTTATAAAAGCAGTGAACCTTTATATTGTGGTCATCTTTTTATTTTTGTAGAGACAGAGTCTCACTGTACTGCCCTTAGTAGAGTGCTGTGGCGTCACAGCTCACAGCAACCTCCAGCTCCTGGGCTTAGGTGATTCTCTTGCCTCAGCCTCACGAGTAGCTGAGACTATAGGTGCCCACCACAACGCCTGGCTATTTTTTTGTTGCAGTTCGGCCAGGGTCAGGTTTGAACCCGTCACCTTTGGTATATGGGGCCAGCGCCCTACTCACTGAGCCACAGGTGTCACCTATTGTGGTCATCTTAATACAGAATTAGAAATAAGAATGTTCGGGCAGTGCCTATGGCTCAGTGAGTAGGGTGCCAGCCCCATATACTGAGGTGGGTGGCAGGTTCAAACCCAGGCCTGGCCAAACTGCAACAAAAAAATAGCCAGGCATTGTGGTGGGCACCTGTAATCCCAGCTACTTGGGAGGCTGAGGCAAGAAAATCACCTAAGCCCAAGAGCTGGAGGTTGCTGTGAGCTATGATGCCATGGCACTCTACCAAGGCCAACTCTGTCTCTTAAAAAAAAAAAAAAAAGGAAGACTTTGTCTCTTAAAAAATAAAAGTGAGACTCTGTCTCTTAAAAAAAAAAAAAAAAGGAAGACTTTGTCTCTTAAAAAATAAAAGTGAGACTCTGTCTCTTAAAAAAAAAGTGAGACTCTATCTCTTAAAAAAAAGGAAGAAATAAGAATGTTCTAGATCAAGGTATACATCTGAATC